CAAAGACACGGACAACCCCGTGATAATATGCGTTTTTTGCTGCTATTACACAGCACAAAATGCATAAAAATAGCGCAGCCGATTATGTTATGGGGAAATGCACTCACCTGGTAGACATCAAAAACAACCCTTCCCTCAACGTTAGTCACTTTATTCGACCGATTGCCCATCTGTTTGCTCGATAATGGCACCTCGCGGACCTTCGAAAGCGAACTTACGATTCGGCCAAGCATCGTTGCCCGATTTTCAATCTAAAAGGTAATTCATTTCATTACTGCCAGTGATATTTTTGAATCGCTTAAAACAAGGCAATCACCTTTAATGTTCGGGCGCGTTCAATAATATACGGGAAATCGAAATTCTGAATGTTATAGCCAGTGAAGAGATCCGGATCGACTGTACGAACAAAATCTGCCCATTTCTGAAATAAGACGCGCACGAATAGTAATATTATGGTCAAAAATGTGAAAGAAATATTTAAAAAGCCGCATTTTCCTGTAGCGTTAGGTTGAGATTTCTCGTTCTCTTAAGCCTACTACGGATTCCCTGTAAACACTTTCATCAAACAGTTCCATCCCCAATCACCTGATTCTTATCGCCCATAATATTTGCAAATATGTGGGCACCGAAAAGAATGTTCGAAGACATAAAAAAAACTTATTTCATCACCTTCTGTTCTGTATCAGCTGCTTTTCTTACGATCTACCCTTTGAATAGAACTTGAAAGAGGGGAAAAAAAACAAGAAATCACTTCAAGCATTTCTTCTTCACTCTTAGAAACAATGATTTCGCTGCCAATAACAGGCGCCGTTTCACCGATAACAAAACAATTGCGAATAAATGGCTCATTGTCGCCTTCAACTTTCACCATGTTAGCTATCTGTATTACGGCATCTGTATGAGCCTCTGGGAAAATACCTAAAAAACACCAATATTCGCACCAAACTTTGTCAAAAGTCTGAACAAAAACATCAGCAACATCAAATGAAAAAAAACATCAGCAACAGCAACATCAAATAAAAACATATTTTTTCTCAAAAAATATAAGAAAAGACTTTTTGACTTATTAGAACAATGTATAAAATCATTAAAATTGCCTAAGTTACCAAGAATCTGATATTATCGAAGTGCAATCGAGCCAAACAAAACTAGGCGATACTTCCCCACTCTGAGTTAAGTAGCCTGAGACAACTTAAAGTGCAAAATAGAAGACAGTGCAAAATATCCACAGGAAAATGAATTGAAAATTCGGACCTTTTCGATTTGTGCATTCGATATCGAAAGAAAGAATGCGCAGCGGTGCTATTGATGACCATTTTGGCGATGAATCAGGCGCATGGACCACCAGGTCGTCATTTCTTATTGAGCACTAAAACAGTAAACAACACAAGTGAACTGTTGCAAGCCATAATCCGAAAATAAATGGAAAAATCTGTAAAGTAAATATTCAAGGATGAAAAATTCGCATATGATACCTCAAACTGGCACCGACTAATCATTTCTTTCTCCTTTATAATTTCGTATTTTTTCGGCGGCAG